CGAAGAGTTAGCATACGAAAAAGACACTTTGATGGTTGTGATAGAGAAGTAACGAAGAAGAGAGTTGCATATAGAAAAGACATTAAAGTAAGGAAGAAGAGAGTTGCATACGAAAAAGAAAAAGGAACGAAAGAGATAAGGCTGAAGAAAGTTATCCACCTGAAATTTTGAGGATGAATGTGGGAGGAACACGTGCAATAGCTTTTATAATCAAAATTTACTTATTAATAGTAAAGATTTTAATTAGATTTTAATTATTGTGAGTGGTTAGCATCAAAGAAAATAAATGATTAATTATTATTTAATAAGATTCATCAAATATGACTCATGTGAAAGTTTACTTTTAATTGAAAAATAAACAACTATAGCATTTTTAAATAGCTGTTAACAAAATTTTCAAGACAAGCCAATTACATAGAGATTAACCGAAATTAACCGAAACCGCCTAATCAATTTTGAGAATAAGTTTGGCATCAGGTAGTTTCCTATCAAATCCAGCCTTATTTACAAAACTTTTTTTTTGGTATAAATATAAAAATAATTTAATAAAAGGAAATATATCAAAACATTAATGACTTTTTATGGTATATCCGTTACAAGTGAACTTAAAGAATATATATATATATATATATATATATATATATATATATATATATATATATATATATATATATATATATATATATATATATATATATATATATATATATATATATATATATATATATATATATATATATATATATATATATATAAAATTTATTTTTTATAGTATATGTTACAAGAGATATTTTAAAGAATTGTAAAAAAAAAATTACACATTTATTATATATACATTTCTTCAAAAAAAAAATTAAAATAAAAGTAAAATTAAAAATTACACATTAATTATATATGAATAACTGTATAGTTCTATTTTTCATAATTCTATTTAAATTCTTACTTTTATAAAAATGCTTGTTTATTTGCCATTTTAAAATTCAATAAAATATTAATATTATTTAAGAATATTTATTAAAAAATTTAATAACTACCACGTTCTTCGGAGAAATGAGAATTTGCCTTGTTAAGGTTGAGAAAAAGAATGTTGGAGATCTAAGAAGGCAACGAAGGTTAGGTTGATTTATAGAATATGGTTTTAGAGAAGAGATTCAAGAAGGCAACAAAGGTTAGGGCTATGGATTTGGAAGAAAAGAAATTCGGTTTTAGGTGTGTTTTGTAGATTTGTAGTTTTCAAGATTGGAGAGAGGATGGCTGCAAGAAGAGAGAAAGAGGTCACGAGAATGAAAAAGAAAGCAAAAAGTTTTGTTAATGTTGTGATTGAGGAGTGTGTAGGAAGAACACATGTAACAACAGAAAAGGCCGAAGAGTTAGCATACGAAAAAGACACTTTGATGGTTGTGATAGAGAAGTAACGAAGAAGAGAGTTGCATATAGAAAAGACATTAAAGTAAGGAAGAAGAGAGTTGCATACGAAAAAGAAAAAGGAACGAAAGAGATAAGGCTGAAGAAAGTTATCCACCTGAAATTTTGAGGATGAATGTTGGAGGAACACGTGCAATTTTATAATCAAAATTTACTTATTAATAGTAAAGATTTTAATTATTGTGAGTGGTTAGCATCAACGAAAATAAATGATTAATTATTATTTAATAAGATTCATCAAATATGACTCATGTGAAAGTTTACTTTTAATTGAAAAATAAACAACTATAGCATTTTTAAATAGCTGTTAACAAAATTTTCAAGACAAGCCAATTACATAGAGATTAACCGAAATTAACCGAAACCGCCTAATCAATTTTGAGAATAAGTTTGGCATCAGGTAGTTTCCTATCAAATCCAGCCTTATTTAATTTTTATGTTCTTCCTTATCCAAATTCTTAAATTAAAAACAAATCTTTGTATTAAAAGATAATATCAAAACTTTTTTTGGTATAAATATAAAAATAATTTAATAAAAGGAAATATATCAAAACATTAATGACTTTTTATGGTATATCGGTTAGAAGTGAACTTAAAGAATATATATATATATATATATATATATATATATATATATATATATATATATATATATATATATATATATATATATATATATATATATATATATATATATATATATATATATATATATATATATATATATAATTTATTTTTTATAATATATGTTACAAGAGATATTTTAAAGAAGTGTAAAAAAAAATTACACATTTATTATATATACATTTCTTCAAAAAAAATTTTAAAATAAAAGTAAAATTAAAAATTACACATTAATTATAAATGAATAACTGTATAGTTCTATTTTTCATAATTCTATTTAAATTCTTACTTTTATAAAAATACTTGTTTATTTGCCATTTTAAAATTCAATAAAATATTAATATTGTTAAACGAAATAGATAAGGCTGAAGAAAGTTATCCATCTGAAATTTGGAGGATGAATGTGGGAGGAAAACGTGTAATAGTTTTTATTATCAAAATTTACTTAGGAACACGTGTAATAGCTTTTATTATCAAAATTTACTTATTAATAGTAAAAAATTTAATTATTGTGAGTGGTTAGCATCAACGAAAATAAATGATTAATTATTATTTAATAAGATTCCTCAAATATGACTCACGTGAAATTTTTAAGTAGCTGTTAATGAAATCTTCAAGACAAGCCAATTACACAGAGATTAACCGAAACCGTCTAATCAATTTTGAGAATAAGTTTAGCATCAGGCAGTTTCCTACCAAATCCACCGTTATTTAATTTTTTTTGTTCTTCCTTATCGAAATCCTTAAATTAAAAAATAATATCAAAACTTTTTTTGGTATTAATAAAAAAATAATTTAATAAAAGAAAATATATCAAAATATTAATAACTTTTTATGGTATATCTGTTACAAGTGAATTAATATATATATATATATATATATATATATATATATATATATATATATATATATATAAAATTTATTTTTTATAGTATATGTTACCAGAGATATTTTAAAGAATTGTAAAAAAATATTACACATTAATTATATATGAATTGTAAAAAAAATTACACATTTATTATATATACATTTCTTCAAAAAAAATTAAAATAAAAGTATAATTAAAAATTACACATTAAATATATATGAATAACTGTATAGTTCTATTTTTCATAATTCTATTTAAATTCTTACTTTTATAAAAATACTTGTTTATTTGTCATTTTAAAATTCAATAAAATATGAATATTATTTAAGAATATTTATTAAAAAATTTAATAACTAACACGTTCTTCGGAGAAATGAGAATTTGCCTTGTTAAAGTTCAGTGAAAGAGAAAAAGAATGTTGGAGATCTAAGAAGGCAACGAAGGTTAGGTTAATTTATAGAATATGGTTTTAGAGAAGGGATTCAAGAAGGCAACAAAGGTTAGGCTATGGATTTGGAAGAAAAGAAAAGATTGGAGAGAGGATGGCTGCAAGAAGAGAGAAAGAGGTCACGAGAATGAAAAAGAAAGCAGAAAGTTTTGTTAATGTTGTGATTGAGGAGTGTGTAGGAAGAACACATGTAACAAATAGAGAAGTAAGGAAGAAGGGAGTTGCATACGAAAAAGAAACGAAAGAGATAAGGCTGAAGAAAGTTATCCATCTGAAATTTGGAGGATGAATGTGGAAGGAACACGTGCAATAACCTTCAAGACAAACCAATTACATATAGATTAACCAAAACCGCCTAATCAATTTTGAGAATAAGTTAAAAAAAATCTTTGTATTAAAAGATAATATCAAAACTTTTTTTGGTATAAATATAAATATAATTTAATAAAAGAAAATATATTAAAACATTGATGACTTTTTATGGTATATGTTACAATTGAACTTAAAGAATATATATATATATATATATATATATATATATATATATATATATATATATATATATATATATATATATATATATATATATATATATATAATTTATTTTTTTATAGTATATGTTTCCAGGGATATTTTAAAGAATGGTAAAAAAAAATTACACATTAATTATATATGAATTGTAAAAAAATTACACATTTATTATATATACATTTCTTCAAAAAAAAAATAAAATTAAAATTAAAATTAAAAATTACACATTAATTACATATGAATAACTGTATAGTTCTATTTTTCATAATTCTATTTAAATTCTTACTTTTATAAAAATACTTTTAAAATTCAATAAAATATTAATATTATTTAAGAATATTTTTAAAATTTTAATAACCAAAACATTCTTCATGTTAAGGTTCAGTGGAAGAGAAAAAGAATGGTGGAGATCTAATAAGGCAACGAAGGTTAGATTAATTTATAGAATATGGTTTTAGAAGAAGGAAGGATTCGAGAAGGAGGCTATGGTTGATTTGAGGGAGGATGACTGCAAGAGAGAAAGAAGTTACGAGTAGAAAAAAAAAAGCAGAAAGTTTTGTTAATGTTGTTAACATTGTAGTTTTGTTACGTTGTGATTGAGGAGTGTGTAGGAAGAACACATGTGATTGAGGAATGTGTAAGAAGAACACATATAACAACAAATACGAAAAAGAGTTATCGTGATAGAGATAAGGCTGAAGAAAGTGAGAGGAACACGTGTAATACTATATTAGCTTTTATAATCAAAATTTACTATATTAGCTTTTATAATCAAAATTTACTTATTAATAGTAAAGATTTTTATTATTACTTATTAATAGTAAAAATTTTAATTATTGTCCGTGGATAGTATCAATCAAAAACTAAAGAATCGGAGAGAAGAAGTATCAAATATGAAACTAAGTTTCATGTAAGATTCACACTTCACACTTCAAACAGGTGAATATTTCAAAAACATAAGTATAGAAATTCATTTCATTTTAATTGAAAAATAACATCAATAACAAATGCTTAATACACCACTTAAGCTAGAAATTCTAGGTAAAGTAGCGTAAACTTATTAATTGAAATTTCAACCCATACTAATTACATAGTGATCTAAATCTAAAGCTCTTTCACACCACTTGAATTCTCTTCAACTTCAAAAGCAGAAACTGGAAAATTTCTAGAAAGTCCAGCAGGAGTTTGAAAAGTGATTTTCCCAGTAGGTGGATCATTAACATAAATATCACTTAGTGTAACCCAAATAAAAAGCTCTTTAGATTTCACACCATTCAATTTCTTAATCTTACCTTTCTCAACATAAGAACTGACTTCAGTAGCATAAGAGACAAGTTTTCCAATTTTTTCAAACTTGTGTGTTATGCTATTCTTCTGTTTCAGCCAAACAAAACCTGTTTCTTTGTGGTGACCAACTTCAATGATGTCTTTCAATGGTAACAAACCTTTGGGGAGACACATTTCCTCCAGAAGCTCTTTGGATTTCACCCGACAAATTTCGTCTCCATAGTATACCTCTGATTCTGATTTGATTTCTTCGGTTACCAAAGACATTGTTCTTTCTTGTTTTGAATTTGTTTTAGAATGTGGTTGGTGTTATATACTTCGCATATGTGCTACATTTAATTTTTTCTCTTCCTTATCCAAAACCCTTAAATTAAAAAAAAAAACATATTCTTTATGTCAAAGATAATATCAAAACGTTTTTTTTTCTATAAATATGAAAATATTTTCATAAAAGGTAATATTTCAACACATTAATGATTTTTTTTATGGTATATCCGTTACATGAGAATTTATAGAATTTTTAAAAATTATACACAATTTTATATATATATATATATATATATATATATATATATATATATATATATATATATATATATATATATATATATATATATATATATATATATATATATATATATATATATATATATATATATATATATATATATATATTAAATTTTACAATTCAATAAAATATTAAATTTTATTTGAAAATATTTATTAAAGATTTTAATGAGTGAAATCATATAATAATTAAATTGTTAATGTATTATAGATATTGTCTCTTTTAAATAAATTAAAAGGTATTTAATTAATTGTGATCTTTTTACGCATACAATTTGTTTCCATTTTTGCAAGATGATTTTATAATGTATTTATTAATCTTAACAAAATTACTTTTGATTAAAATTTGAGAATAAGAAGACTAACTACTCCTTTTTTAATAGATGCATCATAATTTTATAAATCAAATTCACATTAATTATTGTCTACCAAAAGGTAATACATATAGTAAAAATAATATTGGTTTTTAAGACTAATAATTTATTTGTTTTTTAGTTTAAAAAAGATTCTTATATTGTCTCATGGTTCAGTCTTTATAATAGATTATTCGATTATTTGAGCGTAGAAAATTTTTATCCTAGGGTTGATAAAGGATTAAGGCTAACTATATATCTTTCTCTTATGATCTTCAATTATTGATGAACCAATCTTCTTATGTGCTTAGATTTTTAAATTCTTTATAACATTATAATTTATTTGTACATTTTATCAAGGAAAAGATAATTTGCATTATATTGAAAAGAAATGAAAAGAGAGATGAAATTTATGCAAACTCTTCTCTATTCAAGTGCCAAAGTGAGTGTTACCATCATGGTGAAATTTTGTTCGTTCGGTTGCATAATGTTGGAATAATCTATACGACAATTCGATGACCTAACAATAAATAACAAATAAATAAAGAAAATGGCAAAGGTAATTGTTAATTCAATTTAGTCAACGTCACCTAAGTTTTGAAGACAACCTAATGAAAAATAAATTCATTAATCAATAGTCAATAATACATTAGAGTCTCATATAAACTCTCTTAATTTAATGTCTTTTTGCTAATACTATTTGTAAATTATGATCTAGATTTTATGAATGTGAGACACCTTTCACTTTTACTGATCAAACACTAGAAAGTGTTTGTACAACTACAAAAATATAAGGCATGATGAATTACCTTTACAATCAAATACTTTATCCTTTTATATTATAAAAGATACCCTATAATAGAGTATTACAAACCCTAACAAAAGACTCATTGAAAACTATAAAATTTCAAGCTTAATTTTGTCATATCTCAGACTTCACATGAGGTATAACCTCTCCTTAAATAGCAACAACAAACATAAAAGGTTGAATTTGAGAGCAGGATAAAATGGAGAGTGATGAAAATGATTTCTGTGAATCTTTGTGCTAATGATCGGTGGTGATAAAACAGACGGAGTGATGATTATATAGTGATTTGATTTGTTAACTCAGTTAGTCTCTGTTAATTCTTTTAGTGAAAATCGGTTGCAGGTTATAACTCTGTTAAAGGTTCAGTTAGTTAGTTAGGAGTTAGGTCAGTTAGATTTTATAGTGAATTAGTTAGATTGATGCTCTATTAATTAACTCTGTTAAATGTTAGTTTGTGTTAGAAATTTTGTTAGTTTTTCAGTTAGGATATTAGTTCATGAAATTGGAATTGTTAAATCAATTAGTTAAGTGAATGGTTCTATTAGCTATGAGTCATAATCAGAGTCTCTCACATATTCAACACTTTTATCTTCATCATCACTAGCCATGTATTCCCCTTAACCTAATGACATAGCATCTTTATCAACATTTGGTACAAAAATTTAAGAAGTTGAAGCATCGTCAACCTGCAAACTTAGCATTTGAATTATCCCTTCATACACACTCTTTCTCGCAATAGACGTGTCTATTATTTCTTGTAGTGACCTGACTTCTTACTTAAGGACCTTGAGGAGGTGGCTTCTCACAGGTATGGACATGGGTGGTACATCAATCATGTCCTATTGACTACTAAATTAGACTCATCAATACTCGGAATATTAGAAAGAACAATATCAGGGACTTGTTTCCCCGCAGACAACATATAACAAAAGTTTAAAAAAACCATGGGAAACATTTATTTCATCTTCAACTGTAATAATATCACTCTTTTGTTAATCAAAATACTAGAAATAAGTGAAGGAAGCCCAATACAAAGTTTTACAACATACGATTTTGCATGCTTAACTACTTGCTCAAACACATATTCATTAAAATCGAACGCTACATTAATCCCTCTTTGATATAGTAAACTAGCTAGGCTAGGAGTAATACCTAAAACATGGGAAGAAGGTGCCTAGTAAAAACACAAATTTTGTAGAGAACAACATATTTGACATTGAGGTTTGAAGCAATTAGCAACCCCTTAGAAGGATAAACATATAAATGTTTCAGATGATTTTTTGAGCAATGGTCTTCATAGGTGGTACATGGTTAGCACTAATGATTAGCCTTCTCCCCATTTAGTCATTAATGATTATAGATGAGAACGCAAAGTAGTATCCTCAAGCATGCATCATTCTATATTCACCATTGTTTGGGTAGGTTCAAAATAAACTCCTTAAACATCTTTGTATACAAGGGACACACATTCGTCACATTGTTCAAGACCTGTACATCACAGAGTAGTTCCATAATTTCGTTGCACTTCTTAGCATCTTCAATCATTTCTCTTTCAGGGATCATTTCTCCTCATAAAGAAAGCAGACATTCTCCAATGGAACAACATGGATGTTCTAAAGTAGTTTATTTCCACCAACTACCCTTTTTATTCTTTTTGTAGTAGGTTCCTCCAAGATGTCATCTACATTGTCTTCGATAATATGCTTCTCAGAGCGTATATGGGCATTCTTTCTTTTAAGGCTCATGTTTTTTTTCCAGTTGTGGTATTTTTATTGACAACAACCTTCTTATTTTTCTCTATAGACTTCTTCTTTTTTCTCAATCATAACTTCAAGATTTTTCTTGGAAACTATCTTCCTCTTATTTGTCACAACCATCTTTCTGGTTGTAGTATATGTCTTAATTTTGCTTTTGGGTTTAAAAATGGGCATATTATTCACATTTGACTTCTTAGACATTTTTGGAGTTCATTGTGCAGCTACGACTTCTTCAAGAATAGAATTATAATCTTCAATATCATCAACGAAATTGTTATTTTCATTGACACCAGAACTAACATTGTTCTGGCCATTTTCACTAAAAAAAATTCTCATAATTAATTATACCTTCATGATGATCATTGACATTCTTCTGACCACTAATCTGATCATTTCCAAATGCAGTCTTATCAGCTTCCTTAATATACTCAACATTGTCATTAGCATCATTGATGACATTGTTTTCGTTGTAACATTATTATGTTACAGATACAAAACTACTTGTGGTTTTGATAGTGTCCACCACTGGTGAAAACACTTACAAGATACCTCGCTGAAGATGGATTCCATGCGGTAACTTTTGATTCAGCTCAATCGAACTATCATATCTTCGCCGATCAGATCAAGACGCATATGATAACGAGGATCCTTCGATTTCCAGTAATTTGATATATCATTCTCACAGAACAATGAATATCGCGCCATTGACTGGGAAGAATACACATGAGGAATAACTTCAGAGCGAGGCACCTCCAAAGGTGCTTCTGATTGGTATTCTTATCTAGATTTATGCATGGCTTCGCCAATCCGCAGGGATATAGTATTATATAGAAGTAAAATAGGCTTGGGGGTAAACTCTGACATCCCTTGACAAGCACGCTGCTGAATGAACTTCGAAGGATCCTGGAGAGAAACGTCAACCTCAAAATAAAGGCACAAAAAAGATACTACTTAGCCAACCATTCAAAAATTACAACCTTGGGCGGCCACCCTTAGATGATCGATTATATACGACCTTTAACAAATACGAAGATGCCAACCTCCCTGTATCACTCGTCAATTAAAAGTGCATAAAAAAAATGTGACGACCGAGCGCATCTACTAGACGGAAGAAAGGAAACCCACATCATTTGAAGGCCTAGTTAGCTGAGGAATAAGTGAATAAGAAAGGGAACATAATGCACTTATGACTCTATCAACAAGATAAGTATTCTATAAGCTTTTGCTCAATTTCAATAATTAATCTACTAACTATGAGACATTGCAACCACAAAGGATCTTGTTATCCCTTACAGGATTACCTAAGTCGTTCTTCTGAGGTAGAATCTACGCTTGGAGGTAATGCTCCACGGCGTAGTTGGCGTGACCCCTCTTAGGAACTAGCCACTCCAAGAAAGTAAGTGGTGGAGCCCGAAAACATCCACCTTGAACCAGGTCAACTCTGGAGGTAGGGAGAGGAACCTTACCTTTGGTCAGGGACAACTCCAAGAAACGCTAAAGAACCTCACTAGCTCTTCCTAATTTGAGCTAGTGATAACAAAAATCCGGTTGGGAATACATAGTTCAACGGGCGCACCAAACATTAGCAACACCCAGATGGTGGAAAATATTAAAATTATAGGAATACAAAATCTTGGTGTAATAAAAAATTGTTAATAAGTCCAAGGCGAGGAGACTAGCAATAAACAAGGTAGACTAGATGAACATAAAGAAGGAACAAACATATATCAAGCACATAAATCTAAATAAAGGGTGCAACCATTAAGGTAAATGTCTATTTAA